GAGCCCAGGGCTTGTGGTCAGCCTGGGTAACTTGATGAGACCTCGTCTCTACAATATATAAAAAAAATTAGCTGGGCACGGTAGCGTGCGCCTGTAGTTTCGGCTACTTGGAAAGCTGAGGCAGAAGGATCGCAGGAGCCCAGCAGGTCACGTCTGCGGTGGCCGGGAGCGTACCATGGCACTCCAGTCCGGGCGACAGAGTGAGACTGATTAAAAAAAAAGATAAAAAGACTGGACATTAGATTATATAAAATCAGCCGGGCTCGATGGCTCAGCCTGTAATCCCGTGCCTTGGGAGGCCGAAGTGAGTGAATTGCCTGAGCCCGTGGGTTCAAGACCTTATCTCTACAATAAATCAAAAAATTAGCCGGGCGTGGTAGCGCTCGCCTGTAGTTCCAGCTACTTGGAAGGCTGAGGTGGAAGGATTGCCAGAGCCCAGCAGATCGAGGCTGCGGTGGCCGGGAGCGGCCACTGCACTCCAGTCTGGGCGACAGAGTGAGACTCCAACTCAAAAAAAAAAAAAAGTGGGAAGGAAAAAAATCACAACTTGGTGTCCTCTTTTAACATTCCCAATCCATCTTACCGTGCCCTACTTTTTCTTTTTTCCACAACAGTTATCCCCATATATGCAGCAGGTCCTTGAATAATGTTGTTTTATTCAATGTCCTTTTTTTTTTTTGGAGTTGGAGTCTCCCTCTGTCATCCAGACTGGAGTGCAGTGGCCGCTCCCGGCCACCGCAGCCTCGACCTGCTGGGCTCTGGTGATCCTTCCGCCTCAGCCTTCCAAGTAGCTGTAACTACAGGCGCGTGCTACCACGCCCAGCTAATTTTTGATTTATTGTAGAGATGAGGTCTCGCCAAGTTGCCCAGGCGGGTCTCGAACCCACAGGCTCAGGGAATCCACTCACCTCAGCCTCCCAAGGAGCAGGATTACAGGCTGAACCACCGAGCCCGGCACGATGTCATTTTGTTACAAAGTTGGCGAGAAAACAAAAACAAAAACAACACAAAACAACAAAACAACAAAAACAAAACAATTCCCAGCTGGGGCCACTCTTGGTGTGGAATCTGCACATTCTCCCCATGTATGTGTGGGTTTTCTCTGGATGCTCCAGTTTTCTCCCAAATCCCAAAGATGTGCACTTTAGGTGAATTGGTGTATCTAAGTTGTCCCAGTGTGAGTGAGCATGGGTGTGTTTGTGAGTGCACACTGTGATAGAATGATATTCTGCCTGGGGTTAGTTCCTACTTTGTTCCCTGAACTTCTGGGCTAGGTTCTGGCCACCCTTGACCCTGAACTTAAATAAGCAGATTGGAAAATGAATGAATGAATACAAATTATTATAAAATAGAAATGTGTAAAAGTAGTCAACAATCATACAAATGCACAACAATAAACAATGAAGTATGAAAGCATTTATTGAGCCCACAATATTTATTATTGTTTGTTTTGAATTGCATCGTGGTAAGGGGTGCTCCTTACAATTTTCACTTTGCAAATATTTATTCCTTGATTTAATCCACTGCTACAGCAACTACTGTCACTCAATCATTTGCTAAAAATTGGATAAATAATTATTATATTAATTATTAATTTTTCTTAAATGTATGTATAGCTCACATTTTATTTTTATTTATTTATTTTTACTGTAGAGATGAGGTCTTGCCAAGTTGCCCAGGCAGGTCTCGAACCTGAGGGCTCAGGCAAGCCACTCACCTCGACCTCCCAAAGTGCTGGGATTACAGGCTGAGCCAATGAGCCCGGCCTCACATTCATTTCAATGCTTAATATTAGCAGTGTTTTAGGTCTTTATTCAGAAGTTTGATGATGTTTTTGTTACTGGAAATATGCCATAGGCACTTAGCTGTTGTTTATATTAATTGACCTATGGTAATTTGTTATACATTGTTTAGCCTAAAGTCACAGTTTCCAAAAAACTAACCAATGATGTTAAGTGAGGAGTTACTAGCTATATAGTTTACTCACTTATTGTGCTTTCTTTTGCCTGTGTCTTTTTACTAAAATGTAAGCTCCCTAAAGGCAGGGATTTGTTCCGTTTGCTGCTATATGCCCAAATCCTAGAATAATGTCTGGTACATGACAAGTACTCCATGAATATTTGTTGAATTTAGAATGTATCTCTGTGTCCCTAATACCTAGGCCAAGGTCTTGCACAGAGTAGGTGCTCAGTGAATGTTTGTTGAATTGAACTGAGATCTAAATTCTGCAGGAGAACTTAGAATAGACTTGTGCTAGAGTGGTTCAGAGCATGGGCTCTGGAGTCAAATGGCCAGGATTTGCACCCCTGATTCTGTCACTTCCAGCTGTGTTACCTAGCTTTAACATTCCTGAACCTAAAAAAAAACAAAACAAAAAACAACAACAAAAAACCTCATTAAAAAAATGGGCAAAAGACATGAACAGACACTTCTCAAAAGAAGACAAAACAACAACAACCAAAAAAAACCCAATTCCCAGCTGGGGCCACTCTCTGTGTGGAATTTGCACATTCTCCCTATGTATGTGCGGGTTTTTTCACGTATGTCAGCCAACAGACACGTGAAAAACTGCTCAACCTCAGTGATCATCAGAGAAATGCAAATCAAAACTACAGTGAGATACCACCTAACTCTGGAAAGGATGGCCATCATTAATACGTCAAAAAACAACAGATGCTGGTGCAGGTGTGGAGAAAAGAGAACACTTCTACACTGTTGGTAGGAGTGCAAGCTGCTTCAACCTCTATGGAAAACAGTGTGGTGATTCCTAAAAGAACTAAAAATTGACCTACCATGCAATCCAGCAACCATTCTCATGGGAATATAGCCGGAGGAACATAAATCGTTCTACAAAAAAGACACCTGCACATGCACATTTATTGCCATTCTATTTACAATAGCAAAAACATGGATCCAATCCTACCGCCCATCAAAAGTGAACTGGTAGCCAGGCTCGGTGACTCAGCCTGTAATCGTAGCATTTTGGGAGGCCGAGGCGAGTGGATTGCCTGAGCCCATGGGTTTAAGACTAGCCTGGGCAACTTGACAAGACCTCATCTCTATAATAAATAAAAAATTAGCCGGGTTTGGTAGTGCGCAACTGTAGTTCCAGCTACTTGGAAGGCTGAGGCAGAAGGATCACCAGAACTCAGCAGGTCGACACTGGGGTGGCTGTGAGTGTGCCACTGCACTCCAGCCTGGGTGATGGAGTGAGACCCCAACTCAAAAAAAAAAAAAGTGAACTGGATAAAGAAAATGTGGTATATATACACAATGGAGTATTACACAGCCATAAAGAAGAACAAAATCATGAACTTCACAGCAAATTGGATGGAATTGGAGACCATAATACTAAGTGAGCTATCACAGAAACAAAAAACTAAATATTGCATGTTCCCACTCATAAGTGGACCCTGAACGTTAGTGACATTAGCACAAGGGAGGGATTATAAGTCACTGGGCACTGCTAGGGGAGGGAGGAAGCGAAGAGGGTGGGGGGCATGCGACAACACAAAGGGTACCTGGTCCATTACCAGGGGGAGTGAGGGCCAGTTAGAAGCCCAAACTTCACCTGCATGCAGCCTACTTGTAGTTAATACTCACTTGTACCCCACATCTCTATAATAATAATTTAAACAAACAAACAAAAAACCATTCCTAAGCCACAATTTCTCACTGGTAAAATTAACATAATAGTAGTAGCACCTTGGTAGGGTTCCCCCCACCAAGTAAAGCACTTAGGACTCAATAATTGGCAGCTAAAGACAAAATAAGAACAACAAAGTCTTTCTGATATGTCATCCTTCCTCCATCCCTCAACAGGCTGAGCCAGAAAAGGCTAAGAAAATGTCCTTGGACAGATATTCCCAAATTCTATACCAGACCCACAGAATGGTTTCTCTCACTTCAAATTTCTTCTTACCTTTCTGCCTCTCCTGGACTGTCTTTCCTCTTGGCATCCTGAAGCTCCTTCTTCCATCGTAACCATGCAAGGGTGGAGTGGAGGAGATAGGGGTTTGTGGGCTATGGGTGAAGATTTAGAGCTTTTCTTTAATCCCCATTTAAACCCTATGTAGGGTTGATTCCCTCACTGGTGATGGTAGAAGGTCAAGTGTGAGGTTGGAGTAATTTCAGGGCCTAGAGGTTGAGAGAACAATAGTTCTATGGGGGAAGCATTGGCGGGAGAGGTGCCTCATATGCTGCCCTCGTCCTCTGTCCTCTGTAGGAAAGAGCACCTCCCTCACCCTGCTCCAACGTCCCTTCGGTTCGCTCTGCTGCCTCCTCTTTACTTCTAGTGGCCCCAGCCTAGAGCAAGCCTGAAGACCCACTGAGCATCTCCCTACAACTCCCTCTTGGAAGTGGGGTGAGGTGAAGTGGGCGGAGGATAGGCTGCAATTGGGGATATAAGAGCACGAGATCAGGTACCTGAGCTTTCTCATAGCCTAAGTCCTCTCCCTAGGGTCGGAGGTACCTCAGAGATCTCGGAAGCTGAGACTGAGCCTGAGGGCGCCACTGCTTCTGTTCCTTTAAGAAGCCGCTGTTTAGCATTCCTGCCGCTGCCACTGCCGCTGGCTAACTCTGAGCGCTGATTGGCTGGAATCAACTGAGAAGAGAGCCAGGGAGAGATGCTCTTGACTCCACTCAGATCCATCCTGGGGACCTGAGCAGAAGCGGTCCTCGCAGCACCCAGGCTCTGCCTAGGCTCCCGTTTCTTCTTTGCCGCTGGGCCTCGGCCCAGGAGCCACAACGGGCGACA